CATTACATTTCAACTGTAAGTTTATAAAAGTAGAAATAAATCATGTCTTAATAGTTATAAATATATATTATATATTAAATATACAGATTATTTAATATATACTTAATATAAATATATTATATGAATAACTAAATCTTTAACTGAATAAAGTGTTACTCATCTAATTAATGAATATTTTCTGAGTGTTTTATCTACAACTATACTAACTATTATAAAATATATAAAGAAGTACACAACATTGCTATTCATTATAGGGTGAGGGATATCTCCATTCAAATAAATGATATTTGGCATCAATGCCGCTTCATTTTTTATTTTATTTTGAGGCAATTATTGCTCAAGCCAGTACATGACTAAGCCTACCCTTATTAATCCTCTTTATTTTGCTAGAACTCTCCTCAGGGGCTATCTGTCCAGAAGAGTTTTAATGGGGCCTAGACAAGATCAACAGACTGCAACCTTTCTCTTTATAGGAACTGATTGTAAACATGCAAGAAAACCCTTCTAGTGAAGAGGCCTATGACTCCACTGAAAATCCCCTTCAGCTTACACAATAAGTCTAATGGATAAACACACAGTGTAGCTGCACTAGCATTTTGAAAAGACCCATATGCATTTTCCAGCTCAGTATAGGCCTTCCTGAGGATTTACATTTACCTATGCCTCATAAATCCCAAAAGGACTTTCACAATTCTCATCATTTTAAAAAACATAATACATCTTATATTCACATGTATTTAAAAAACAAAGTCAGTAACGAATTCAAAAATTATATTTATCATTGTAAGAGCTAGCATAACTATCTGGGATTGTCTTCTCTATAGAATTTAAAAGCCATGCAGGATAGAACAAAATTATTTAGGTACCATTTTAAGTGCTATGGTATTATCATAGAAGCTGTCTAACTTGTAATTCCTGCATGAGCTCTGTTTGATGCATAGTGAGGAGTCAAATCATCCGAGACGCCTGCCACCAATTTAAACAGGGGTTCCTCTCAATCTAGAGAATGGAATTGAGAAGAAAACACTGAATTAGATGTAACATGAGGAATCTGTATCTCTTATTCTTAATAATATAGGTAGAAAGACATCGAAGAAGGAAATCTAAAGAGTGGTTTTGGGAAGGAACTATGTGGAATCTGGGAAACTCACATGAAAGTCACATAAAATTGTGTCACCTCTCAGAGAGTAAGATAACTCTGGGTTACATGTACAATAGGAGAGAATTTCATCACAGCAACCAAGTAACTACACATATTAGGAACCGGGTTGTATTTAAGCTCTGTGAGCTATTCATTTCCATTTAATGTTATTTTCTTTCTCAGTATTTACTATCATGCTGAATGTTATGGTTTGGGTTTGAATATCCTCAGAAGTTCATGTTTTCAAAGTATGGTCCCCAATGATACAAGGTTCAAAGGTGGGCTTTTAGACAATGATTGGATTGGGAGGATTCTGACTTCATTAGTGGATTAACCCATATAATGAATTAATCTACTGGGATGTGAAACCTAGTTGGAGGAAGTAGGCCAATGGGTGTGTTACCTACAAGGCTACGTTCTTCCCAGCCCATTGCTCTCCCTGCCCGCCCAGCTTCCATGAGCTAAGCAGCTTTCCTCTGCCATGCCCTTCCACCATGTTTATTCAATGGAGTCAGTCAACCATAAACTAACCAGTGAAATCATGAGCTGAAGTAAGTTCTTCCTCTTCTAGGTTGTTCTTGCCAAGTATTTTGTCAAGGGATGAAAATCTGACTAACACACTGACATAAGGATAAGCCAAAGGAAGTTGATTTTAGACAGGCTGTTACCAAAGCCTGAAGGAGATCAATGCACCACTGGGAGCCAGATAAAAGGAGCAGCTATAGAAGTGGGACAGCAACGTGGGGAAAGTGAGTAAACTTGGGCCCACAGAACCATGACTGCTAAGTTAGATACCCTTTCCCGCTGGTTGGTTTCTTATCGTGAGGAGC